GGATGTAGTGAAGAGGAGGTAGGATTGTTGGTTATGGGATCAAAGCAAAGAAGAGAGAGAGGGAGGATCAATGATGTTTTTGAGAGCGGAGTGCAATGTTTGGAGGTTCAGCGGGTTCAGCTACTGTGCAGCGGGTCAAGTTGTTAAGCGGGTGCTTGTGCTTGTGCTCGCCTGGTGGTCGCCGTTACGGTGGAGGAGAATAGAGAGGTAGAGGGTACGCTACCTGATCAAAGGTGGAAGGGCCCTGTCTGCCTGTCTTCTCTGTGTTTTGTATAGGGCATACACGGTTCCTTAGCGCGACTTAAACCCCTGTTCAATGTACCCGACTACTTCTGCTCCTCTTTTCGTAAGTCGGACTGGGGGGAGTTACTGGACAGAAGGATTTCAGATGCTGATACTGAGACAGGCTTTGCAGGCCAAGCTCGATACAGGCTGATTCGACGCCAATTGCACGCGACAATGTCCTGACCGATGCAAGGAGTATGGTTGTAAATGAGGCCTTGGTACGCGTTTTGTAGGTGAAGAGAACCAAAGAACCGGCCAAAGACAATTGTAAGGTTAGCAGAAGAAACAATGGGAGAATTGCAGACACAACAACAAGCAATAAATACGTCTGACTTGCATGTACAGTTGTGTTATGGACAAGGCATGTGTCGATGTGCCTGAATGCTGTGCAGAGGAACTTGGCAGTTGCTAAAGAAGACGCGATCTGAAGCCCGTTGCGGCGTTACCGGGCCCCACTTACTGATCGTGCTTCTTCTTTTTTTTCCCTGGAAACGTGACTGGCCCACTCTCTAGGCCCCGTAGTACCCGTAGTCAACAGAGGAAACCACGGGGCAACGTCGAATTCATTGGTTGCACCTACCCCGGGCTAAGCGGGTTCAGCCCTTGACCAATCCGATGACGTGATTTGGTATTCATGACAAGATGTGGCTCAACATCTCTATTTTCAGCCTCAGAGCAGATCCAGAGCCTCACAAGCCTCACAAGCCTCACTAGCCTTATATCCGTATCAGGCAATTCCAATGAAAGATCGGCAGAAGCCCGGCTTTTTAAAGAATTATCAGCAAGCTTGTGCCAAGCTCCCGTCTTAGCCCAGTCAAGGGTAGCCAACTTCGGAACAACTTGATCTCCAGGATAGCTTCAGTCTTAAGACTTTTTGGTCCCCAACCAAAGCAGGTCGCGATTGGGACAAACCAGCATCACCCTCGTGTTTCCACCCCATTGACCTCCCGACGGATTTTGCAACAATTGACACATGCGCAACAAGTGGGTTGCAAAAGTGTCATGATGTTGCAGCCGCGGATATTCTCCCTCTCAACGCGGAGGATACTCACGAGCAGCCAAATCCCCTATCGAACATATGCGACAATCCAGCGAGGAACGGCTCCTTCGCCGAAAGCCGATAGGGGTTTCTCAAAGTCTCCGAGAGAATCTTCGTCAACTGCTGCCAAGTCCCAGAAAGAATCGTCCGACACCTTACGGTCGTACACGCCTAGAACACCTGGTTTACGACATCTGAAGCGGCCTATCAATGACCACCTGTGGAAAGGCAGGCCATTCCTGCCATTGACCTTCCCGAAGAAGGGCATGGCCAAGGGTGGTCGCAATAACACTGGCAAAATCACCGTCAGACATCGCGGAGGTGGTGCGAAGAGGAGGATAAGGACGGTAGATTTCCACCGTTGGCTCCCTGGCCCGCACACTGTCGAGCGAATCGAGTACGACCCGGGTCGCAGTGCGCACATTGCTCTTCTCAACGAGGACGCCACGGGCAAGAAGACGTACATTGTTGCCCCTGAGGGCTTGAGGGCTGGCGATGTCGTCCAGAGCTATCGGGCTGGCATACCACAGGATCTCCTCGACAGCATGGGCGGAGCGCTCGATCCCGGTATTTTGGCCGCTAGAACAGCTCATCGAGGAAATTGCCTGCCTTTGCATCTGATCCCGGTTGGTACACCGGTATTCAACGTCGGGTCGCACCCCAAAGGAGGCGCTGTATTTTGCCGCAGTGCTGGTACATTTGCTCTTGTGGAGAGCAGGGAAGAAGAGATGAAAGACGGTGTTAGAGTTATGACTGGGAAATACATTAACGTGCGTCTTCAAAGTGGTGAGGTCAGACGGGTTAGCAAGGATGCCTGCGCAACTATTGGCGTTGCGAGCAATCCCCATCATCAATACCGACAGCTTGGAAAGGCTGGAAGAAGCAGATGGCTCAACATCAGGCCCACGGTTCGTGGTGTCGCCATGAACAAAGGTGCGTCTGCCAGCGGCGTCTAAACCTTAAATAAACTTCCCAATCTAATGCTGACATTTTCTTTATAGTGGACCACCCTCACGGTGGTGGTCGTGGTAAATCAAAGGGTAACCGACACCCAACGAGTCCATGGGGTAGACCGGTACGATCTCACAAAACCTCCCCAAAAATTATGCATCACTTTCGCATGAATACTGACACCCGCTTCAGGCCAAAGGTGGTTACAAGACACGCAGGAAGAGCAACCCCAATAAATGGGTCGTTACACCACGTGCGAGAAACATGGGCAGGCGGCGAGGCAAAAAGGGCAAGGACTAAAGAACTATTTGCCCTGTCTAGCCTTGTATTCCCTAGTTACATGTACAATCTACTGTTTAGGCATTTACAGCATGGCCTATGTATAGACCTGTATGATATTAGAACACAGTCTGGCAACAATTTTCGTTGTCACAAGTTTCAGCACACCATGGCTTAATGGCCCAATCTTGTTGCTTGTGAATCCCGATTGAGCTTCTTGTCCTAATCATCCATTACAGCGATGCACTGCTGTTAACTTTCAACTCTCGTTATGGACGTTTCGAAAATCTTCACTGCAAGATATCCTACCCATCCTATCTCAATTATGGAACTCCCAAATATCTTCCCGTTTTAACTCCTTCCACACCCTCAACCTAAGCACCATGCTCCTCACCAAATTCGAAACCGCCTAAGCAGTATTCATTGCAGTCATGGGCACGGGTTTTCCGCATGCGTAGCTATAGGTATTTAGTACGGTTTGGTGGCATAAGCCACTAACATAGGTACAGTAGGGGCTGCACAAATTTATGATTTAAAAATATAAAATAAAAACTAAAAAAAAATCTTTTTTCTTTATTTCTTTCTTTTTATAAATTCTCTTCTTTGAACTATCCAATTTTTGAAGACGGATCAATTGTTTTGAGGATAATTACTCGCTCATGCTTTTTCCTTTCTTTTAGCTGCATCGTATAGAGCTGATATCACATCATTGGCAATGTGGAATATTTGTTTGTCGAGGGTCATTATATATATTACTATGGTCATGTATGACTTGGCTTATCGTCAATACGCCGTTTGTTAGAAGCTGAATACTTTTAGTGAATGACCGTCAGCGATCGCCATGGCTGCGAGCTGGGGAGGTCGTTTCCGAAGCCAACCAGGCACTCTTCAACGACACCGGCTAGTCAATGCTGACATCGGATGCAGCAGTTTACACCAGCAACGATCTCTTATCCACCTTGGAAATGAAAGTGAGAGCTCGGATTGTGCTATCGCGGTTATGGGAGTACCATCATACATTTCTCTAGTAATTTTTCCATAGTTCGAGGGAAATGAAGTAATTGTGTGGAGATCTACAGGAGAAATTGAGAACGGTATGAGCGATGTTATACTCTTCTTTCTCCCCTGTTCTCGAAAGTTTTTGAATTCAAAAGTTAGGAAAAAGAAGCCTCAACTTCTCAACGTAGCAAAGTATATTAAAAGCCTGGTATTGAACAATGCTCGATGCATAGCCTATCGGGAGTTAGATGACTCTAAAATAAGCTCGGTATTCTCATAGAGGTTTCACCAAGGCTGTTTTGCAGAGTGCTTATCGGAGGCGGTATAGACATAACGGGCCTTCTGTCCTTCTTGAAATACCGTCTAAATGTTAAGCTATTCTACAGTGCCAAGGCTGCCGACGAATACCTTATACACTATTTGAGCACCGTGCCGAACGAGGTCCACGAGAAAGAAATCCGTATTGGTCGCAATCTTGATGTTGATATACTGCTAGGGGTTGAGGCCAATCTTGGAGGGCCTATGATTGCGGCTGTAGTGTGCGGCTCGGCGGGAATTTGTAATAATGTCAGGGCAGCCGTAGCCAGGCTTGGAAAGGAGAACGCAGGTGATTGTTTGTTTGAGCTGGAGGTGGATGCGTTTCCTCGTAGCGGACTACCTACATGGTCTAGAATCTGACGCCGAAAGATCTGTTTAATACTTAAACAGTTTAGCCGCGGGCTCTCTACATGCTGCTGAGGAGCAAAGGTAAAGTATATAGGAAACCAAAGATCAAGGGAGGGGGAACTTATGAGAAGTTGAGGTGTTCGAATACGGTTGAGTTTCTTGAAATCCCAGCTCATTATGAACCCGATTGAAATGAGCGGCTTTGGTTGGGTGTAGCCAGCCTATTTCCGTCTTGTGAAAAGTAGGATCCATGGAAAACAACAGCCTCCCTTCTTTCGGGTTTATCTCAGACAAGCAATTTAGAGAAATACAAAGTCGATTATTTCAATGGCTTATCATACATTCCTTGATTGCCGGAACGACAAGCATGAGCCTCGCTCCGTCGTGTCCAAATGTGTGTGTGACCAACATCTTAGTCATTTTATGTCGATGCCCTTGAAGTATGCCCTAATAGTAATAACAGTCAGGGTATCATAGTTTATTTATGTTTCCTGTGCACTTGTTGTGCCTTTCTTTATGGCAAAGTATCAACATCATAATTATATACTAGGGAAAAGGAGTTGTTTCGGTGTTCGGTTTCTATAAATTGTGCTTATAATGTGCTTTATTAGGGCACGGGGAAAAACATAAAATCATTGGTAGCCTAATTTTACGTTTTTGGTATGTGTATCTAGAATTTCGAACGGAAAGCTCTAAGGCAAGGCAAAGAGCCAAGAAAGGAGAAAGCCATGATAGTTGACGTGAGAAAGATATCAACAAGCCTCCAAAAGATACAAAAATGTAGTCACGCCGTGGATCGAACACGGAACCTTCTCGGGACAAGATGTGCACACATAGATGTGAACGAGAAATCATAACCATTAGAACACGCGACTTCAACTAATTTCAAAGCTGAACTCTTTTTTCATAATAAAAGTCCCTAGTTTTACGTTCCCTTTTTAATTATCGGCACGTATAGCTGCACATGATAAAGCCCAGCTCCAAAAGAAAAAGAAGAAAAAAACATACAACACCAGGGATTCGCTGGTCGTCACCGACCCAACTACTAATCTGGCGGTATCTGGCTTAGCTATGGGGGAGCGGACGGGACCCCGCGTTCTCCAGATCCTATGGTCGTATGTGGAAGGCAGTGTGTATAATCCCATATATAAAGCAATGGTTCAGTACCTATGGTCATCTAACCCGTTAAATGTGAGACTCAAAGTTATCTAGATGCCCCCCCATGGCTTCTGAACTGCTGTGTAGTTGGTGTAGATAATTACTAATCATATCCCACAGCGCGGCAGCAAATCGCACTGTTAATGTAGTGTAGACTGTTTTAGATAATAGGTTGAGTAAAGTAGAGGCACGATCAACAAGGCCATTTATGATCTTATGCGCTGTCGCATCGTGGTCACCACTTTCTTGACTACGCCCATAAATGTTAATCCAGCTTTGCAGGTCAGCTGCTCGAGCTGACCTAAGTGACCAAATCAACTACAAAGAGAACCGAACTAGGCTCGACCGAAAATCAAAGGTTATTCCAAGCGACTATGTTTATTAACTAACTGTTCTGTGTAGCTAGTTTGAGACGACTGACCGAGAACGTTAGGTGAGGAAAGGGCACGCCTATATGCTATTGTAAAGTAAAAACGAAAACTTGCTAGAGCCGTGTTAGATATCGCTGTCTTTGGTAGTAGGTCAGAAGACGTGTACCAATGTGTATACACATAGCCACTTTCTCCCTCTACCCGCTAGTATATTAGCAACAGTAGCTTTGGGGGTTAAATTGCGATGTTTCAATTAAAACATGTCTTGACCTCGTATAGTGTTTCTGGCGAGTAGAGCACGAATTCATTTTTCTGCTTACCTAGCCACACCATTGACTGACATTGCATAGCCTTATTGTCTCTTACACCACACACCCTCCCTACATCGTCGCCCTGCAACGGATTTTATTCAGAAATGCGTTGCTCTATGCTCACCGAATTAGCCCAGAACGGTTTCTCGACCTTTCCTCGTATGGCGGGCTGAATTACCATGAGATTATCAGGAGTTATGATGAGTAAACAATTTGCTATTGCTTTATGAAACCAGTCTTTCGATCACAAAGCTTTGCTTAACAGTACCCAGATGGGGTGATACAGAATATTTGTATTGCCAGTACGATACTGAAGACCTAATAGTGAACTTCCTATCGGGATTCTCTGCGAAATTCATGTTAGCTTTCTGTGAGCTACACGATCGTTTCTTATTCTTACCTTGGGACTATTGGTTGCTGGCATCAGCCAATAATCGACTGTTTTCCGCTCGCACATCGTGCACTAGCGTAATCGTCATTCTAGATATGGGAATTATCATAATTTCCATGTAGATTATCACTATTCGCAGGCGGAGAGGGCTGAGTGCCTCTCGTCAGGTCTGCCGTGTCGCATGCTGCAGCTCAATTTGAACCTCAAGAGCAGTTAGCGTTCGCCTTGTCTCCCCTTTCACCGGAGATGCAACGGCCGAGCAAAGTAACCGGATCTAGCAATGGGCCTCCGTTACTTGCAGATCTTGGGGTCAAGCCACGTGCAATCGCAGCCAACCACATCACACGGGGTTTCCGATCGATCGGTCTCATGCGCCGAAGCGAGACAGCTGCGATGCATCGTAGGATCGAAGGAGAAGCCAAGTCTCCCCCCGCATTGGACCGAGGAAAGGCAACTACTGCATCAAGGCTGATGATCCTTGCCTAGCTTGAATGATGATGGAATCTTAATGCTTTATTCCTAAGACGCCGTTTGATGTGAAGCCTCGTTGTTTCTGAGGTCCTGAGAGGTGGCATTGGCCATCACGTGTTGGCCGGACGTTGTCGTGGTGGCTCAAAGGAGCGCATGGGGTTGCAAATTTCCGAGGACGACGACCATGGGCCACTATCGAGCATTTCGGTTATGATGAGCTACTGCGCTCAGAGACCGTTATCACGTATACGCTGCATCGTTGGTTCGCAAACTACTTCTATTTGGTACTAATATGCTATTTTCTTTTCCTAGTAATCCATCACTTGTTCCATCTCCGCCGTTATTCGTGTAAGTTCAGCGGAACTCCAAATTTTCGAGCGGCACTTTTTGGCCGGTTATCCTTTCAACCACAAGATGCTCACTAATCTGATTCTCAAATGAATACGGTAGGTCATGCAAAACCGGATGATCTCTTCAGCGTTGGTGACTAACGGAGCCTATCTCCTACTGCACTTGGGGTATCGGCGTTACGAGCCAGACAGCCAGACAGCAACACGAACATCGCAGACTATTGCTTTACTTACCATGTCTCCGGCCGCGGAGGGTGTAGTGAGGATTGCCAAGCTAGTGTGGGCAATCAGGCCAGGGGCATTGCAGACCCCAGCATCGTTCGGCGTTGAAAAAGAACGCGAGAGATGGCCATTTAATGTTGGCTATTCAGAAAGGGAAGCTCTAGACTAAGCACCGCTGTTCCCGCTTCTACCCCTGTTATTCCCGAGTCCAAACAGCTCCGCGCCGTCTGAAGGATTAAAATATTAGTAACGGTTAGGTGTTTTTAAGCAAATCTACGTAGCTCACTGATTATAGCTAACCCACCGGGTCAGTGTGGGCGACAATTTGATGGTGACTCTACGGTGGATCCTATTAAAAAAAAAAAAAAGTCCACCTCGTAGCATTCCTTGTAGAGTAGATAATAGAGAAGATCTGTCTTCAATTTAGTGACGTCCACGGCCACATAGACTCGGTGAGGATTGCAAACGCATAAATAAAACCTCCTGCCCAGTATCCGCGAAAATCGCGCTCGCCAAGGCCATGTCCGACCCCGAGAAGGCTCTGGGTAATCTCGGCGCGGGCGCGAGCACGAGCGCAGATGCAGACGAGTCCTCCTCCATTACCGAGAACCAGCCTCCGCAGCAGCAGGACCAGCAACAACAGCCACAAGCGCAAGAGGAATTCAAGGAAGGAGGCTATGGCTGGTAAGGTCTTGTGCATCCACGTCTATTCAGAGTATACCGTTGACAAACTTATCTTTTCCCCCAGGGTTGTGGTCTTTGCTGTTGCATTCCTTAATGCCCATACGTGGGGCCTGAACTCGGTATGCAAAGACATCGAAACTCCTCTAGATGAAAACAGCGCAAGCAATCCGCTAACTGGGACCATATATAAAAGACCTATGCCGTCTTCCTTGCTTATTACCTGAGGACGAATACCTTCCAGGCAACACCACTAGGCTATGCCTTCGTAGGAGGGCTTTCTGTCTCTATAGGTATAGATGAAACCTACTTCTTTCTCCTTGTCACCTCTAATCACTGAAAACTAGCTCTCCTGGCCTCACCTCTGGCGACTTTCCTGGCGGGCTGGGACAAGTTTGGGACGCGACTGACCATCTTTCTCGGCGTGATATTCGAAGTGTAAGAACCCATATTCCGCTCCGGCTTAATTATAAAACCTATACCTCCTCTCCCCCCCCTTACACTCCAAGCGCGCTAACGGGGTGAAAAAGCATCGGCTTCATCGGGTCGTCCTTCGCGTCGGAGCTGTGGCACATAATCCTCAGCCAGGGCGTGTCGTTCGGGTTCGGGATGGGGCTCTGCTTCGTGGCGTCGGCGGCCGTGCCGCCGCAGTGGTTCCAGCGGCGGCGGTCGTTCGCGAACGGCGTGACGGCCGCGGGCTCCGGGTTCGGGGGCCTGCTGTACTCGCTCGCGGCCAACGCCATGATCGAGCGGTACGGGCTGGCGTGGACGTTCCGCGCCCTCGCCGTCATCTGCCTCGTCGTCAACGGCGTCGCCAGCTTCTTCATCCGCGACCGCAACGCCGCCGTCGGCTCCGTCCACGTCGCCTTCCACTGGGCCCTGTTCCGCCGCCCCAGCTTCGTCGCCTTCCAGCTCTGGCTCGTCCTCTCCCTCATCGGCTACACCATTCTCGTCTTCAGCATCGTGGCCTACGCCCAGGCCGTCGGCCTGTCAGCCTCGCAGGCCTCCCTCGTCGGAGCTCTGTTCAATTGTAAGTTTTTGAGACCGGTTTCTTCTTCTCTTCTTTCTCCCCTGGCGTGGATTGGTCTTGAGGAACGTCCGGACTGACGATGGAGACAGTGGCGCAGGGAATCGGGCGTCCTGCTATAGGCCTCTCCAGCGACGCCGTGGGCCGGCTTAACATCGCAAACCTGTGCACCCTGTGGTGCGGTGTTCTGTGCTTATTCGTGTGGACGTTTGGAACCACAACACTCGCCGGGTGTGTTGTCTTCGCGCTGCTCAGTGGCGCCGTGGCTGGTGTCATGTGGGCGACTGTCGCTCCAATCTGCGCCGAAGTGGTCGGGCTTGCTTTGATTCCCTCCGGTGAGTGCCTTCTACACGCTATATTGCTCTTGGTGGACGGCAAAGCTGTCTTTATTCTCGCTTGGCCCCCCATGACTAACTGTCTGAATAGCCTTATCAATGTCATGGCTTGTCCTCGTGTTGCCGGCGACCTTCGCCGAAGTAATCGGTGTAAGCCTGCGTAAGCCGGGGACCTTCGGCTACCGCGACGTGCAGCTATTTACCGGTTTTATGTACATAGGAGCCTTCATCTTCGGTGCGTTCATCATCTATTACCCGTCTCCAAGGTCGTCAGCAGCGGAATCATAACTAACCAATACGTTTCTAGGCTGGATACTGCGCGCTTGGAAAGTCTGGGAGCTAGAACAGGCACGTCTGACGAAAGAGCAGCGCGAACTCGCCATCCGCGACGATGGCGTTCTGCCTTCGGCCGAGTTGCGGCGCCATGCCAGCCGTGCATCGACAGTGAAAGAGAAAGTGTTGAATTTAAGAGGACTCTGGGCCGTACAGCGTGTTTGACGAGTTAGATTTTACTTATTTTTATCTATATATAACATATGCGCAGGCATTTGATAGGAT